ATTATATCTTCTTGCTTCTTTCGGTAAAGTCACGTAGAAGGGAAATAATACAAATAATACAAATAAAACATACTAAAATAATATAACAATATACTAAAATATTTAAATAATATGGTCATATAATATTATATTTCAATGTAAAGCTTTCGTGACTGCAGGGATTCATCTTCTTGGTTCTTTTGGTAAAGCCACGTAGAAGGGAAATAACAAAATAATACAAATAAAACATAATAATATAAAATATTGTATTAGTTTTATTTTATTATTTCCCTTCTACGTGACTTTACCTAAAGAACCAAGAAGATGAATCCCTGCAGTCACGAAAGCTTTAAATCAAAAGTTAAATTTCAGTTTAGTCTATGGGTCTCAACCATGTGTCTCTGTGGGTCTTTATGTGTATCTGTGGGTTTCTATGTGTCTCTGTGGGTCTCTGTGTGACTCTGTGGGTCTCTATTAATCTCCATGGGTCTCTATTCATCTCGCTGTATCTCTATGGGTCTCTATGTGTCTCTGTGGGTCTCTATTAATCTCCATGGGTTTCTATTAATCTCCATGGGTCTCTATTCATCTCGATGTATCTCTATGGGTCTCTATGTGTCTCTGTGTGACTCTGTGGGTCTCTATGTATCTCTATGGGTCTCTATGGGTTTCTATTCATCTCCATAGGTCTCTATTCATCTCGATGTATCTCTATGGGTCTCTGTGTGACTCTGTGGGTCTCTATGGGTTTCTATTAATCTCCATGGGTCTTTACTCATCTCGATGTATCTCTGTGGGTTGAAATGGAAACAGGAAGTTAACACAGCACACACGTGCAGCAGCAGAAGTCGGATCTGTTCATCCCCAGCATTTAAGGACATCTCAGCCTGGGTTCACACCTCTGAGTTACGATTGAACATTAATTAACGCATTTCTGCATAACACAAACAGTGTTGGTTTCAACACCCTTTGCGATGTCAGCTGAATTTTGCTCTCAGAAATATTCCTTTTGTAGCCAGACAGCCGAACTTGTGTGCTCGGAATTTTGGGTTCACATTCAGATTTATGACTATTTGCCCTCTCATTGTGTGCCATAAAAACACGTGTGATGAATTTGGGAAACTTTTTCACTACATCATGAATATATGAATAAGTATAGACGTGTAAGTCACGTGTGACTGTGTATATATGCATTCCGCTGTGTCTGACGTGTAGATGGTGTGGATTTTCTTTTTTTATGTCTGCAGCTGTCGCTTGGTCTGATGGAGCAAAGGCGCTCAGCACAGCTCGGTACGGAAAGGCAACAATGCGACCAGCGTGGATACAGCACGGAGCGGACTGTAAATTTGACACAGCACCAGAGAACACACACAGGAGAGAAACCCTTCAAGTGCACTGTGTGTGGGAAGGCATTTGCATGGCCATCAGTTCTTCAGATCCACCAGAGAACACACACAGGAGAGAAACCCTTCAAGTGCAGTGTGTGTGGGAAGGCGTTTTCACGGTCATTTGCTATTAAAACACACAAGAGAACACACACGGGAGAGAAACCCTTCAAGTGCAGTGTGTGTGGGAAGGCGTTTGCACAATCACCACATCTTCAAGCACACCAGAGAACACACACGGGAGAGAAACCCTTCAAGTGCAGTGTGTGTGGGAAGGCATTTTCACAGTCATCTTCTCTTATAAAACACCAGAGAACACACACGGGAGAGAAACCCTTCAAGTGCACTGTGTGTGGGAAGGCATTTTCACGGTCATCTTCTCTTAAAAAACACCAGAGAACACACACGGGAGAGAAACCCTTCAAGTGCAGTGTGTGTGGGAAGGCATTTACACAGTCATCAAATCTTAAAAAACACCAGAGAACACACACGGGAGAGAAACCCTTCAAGTGCAGTGTGTGTGGGAAGGCGTTTTCACGGTCATTTGCTATTAAAACACACAAGAGAACACACACGGGAGAGAAACCCTTCAAGTGCAGTGTGTGTGGGAAGGCGTTTTCACGGTCATTTGCTATTAAAACACACAAGAGAACACACACGGGAGAGAAACCCTTCAAGTGCAGTGTGTGTGGGAAGGCATTTTCACAGCCATCTTCTCTGATAAAACACCAGAGAACACACACGGGAGAGAAACCCTTCAAGTGCATTCCGTGCGGGAAGGCGTTTACACAGTCAGAACATCTTCAAGTCCACCAGAGAACACAGACGCATCAGAATATCCACAAGGAGTGGAGTCTGAAATCAGCTTGTGAAAGTCAAAGTGCCGCAATGAGCCCATCCCTCGTGAAACAAGAACCGGAAGAAAATCCCAGCTTGGACACTTTTAAAGGTAATGAGGTGAAATATGAAGAGGTGAAGGTGAAATATGAAGAGGTGAAGGTGAAGAGCGAAGAAGTGATGGTAAAATGTGAAGATGAAGATTCAACTCCAGAATGGGACCTTCACATCGATGGAGGCAACGTGAAGCAGGAGGAGAATTCTGACTGAGGCAGAGTGAGGCAACTCCAAGCATCTTCTTGGTTCTTTCGGTAAAGTCACGTAGAAGGGAAGTAATACAATAATACAAATAAAACATGATCAAATAATTCTCACGACGTTTCGGCCACAACGCAAGCAGCTGTCCTCAGGTGAAAGAACCAAGAAGATGAATCCCTGCAGTCACGAAAGCTTTAAATCGAAACTCCCAGCAGTTTGTGGAGGTGTGGCTGGACTTCCAAGACAACACAAAGTCAAATTGAGACCCGGTAGATGAGTAAGCGTGAGACGATGTCGCTGCATTAGATGCTCCTTTCTCACAGGCCTTTAATGACAATAACGTGAAGTTGAACACTCAGTTCCTAGGTTCAACCTGCAGGGTAAGAGCGAGTGGCCAGTTACTGCAACTACATACTATTAACACTCCTTCCCTTTGTTAATGCTACCCCTATCCCCTTCCTTTGATGCTGCTAATTCTGCATAATGCACGGGCATAAGTAGTACTAATCACATACCTGCATTTCTCATAAATATGCTAAATGCCTCTTGATATGCAAATTCTTTTGTCAAGGCGCCCAGCTTATATATATGCTCCAAGCGCGTGTGCTGTTTCATTCAGACGCTGTCGCCTCGACAGACCTGGTTTTCACCTGAGGATGGCTGCTTGCGTTGTGGCCGAAACGTCGTGAGAATTGTTTTATTGTGTTTTATTATTTTATTACTTCCCTTCTACGTGACGACTTTACCGAAAGAAGCAAGAAGACAAGTGGCCAGTCTTAGTGGACCTGTGGGTTGGGTCAATCTCTCACCAGGAGCGAGAGCCAATCAGCCCCCAAGCATTCACGATGTTCTCATCATAATTGCTGTTACATGGCGCTTGTCTGAAACACTCGAAGAGCATCTGCAAGTAGCAGCTGCCCCTGTGTGGCACACGATGATTGATGTGTAATCTCAGCTGTGTCGTTAGTAGGTGATCTTGACTTGAAGCTTTCGTGACTGCAGGAATCCACACCCTTTAGTTCTTTTGGTGACGTCACGTGGGTCGAAAAATTATAGATCGCGGCGTTTCGATCGCAACGCAAGCGATTGTCATCAGGTGTGACAACCACCATCATCATCACCACCACCATCACCACTTTCACCATCACCACCACCATCACCACTTTCACCACCACCATCATCACCAACTGAGGTAGACGCCTACTTCAGCAGTTATTGACGTGGTCCCAGCTGATGGCGATTGCTTGCCTTGCTATCGAAACCTCGTGATCTATTATTTGTAGGTAATGTTTACAATTTGCTACGTTTTCACCCAGACGCCAGCATGCAATGGACTACTCGTTTTGAATGACACAATAGTATGTGTTAAAATAGCTTCTTGTTAATACGTTGTTACCTGATGCAGTATGTTTCGCTGCAGTAATTCAATTTTGTTAATATGCCTGTCAATAATTTAGAATGAATACTTGTCTGATTGTGCGTGTACATGTAACAGTTTGTCTGTGAGGGTCAAACATGAAGTGTTCAAATCTAGAGTGATTAAGTGATGTTAGGACAAAGTGTGTGTGTCTGGAAGTAACCTGTACAGATCACTCAGGCGAGATCATTCATCAGTTACAAGGCATACCACTTTAAAGTTGCACGTAGAGGAGATACATTCTCTACAACACGAATTATAATTTTGCATTCACGCAAGCACCCGATGCTCCGTTTTGAAGTTTTAAAATGAAACATCTTTGAATTGTGTTGTGTTTTGAATTGTATTTCTTCATTAAAAGCTTATATCGTTTTACATCTGGAAGACTTCGTTGAAAAGGACATTCCGTGTGAATTTCCTCTCGTCGTTAAGTAGATGACTTTGCTGGGGGGTTCATTTCGCCGCGGACTGTCACCTGCTTGGCATCGCGGGATCGAGAGAAGGCAACACCGAGCTGCTGGCCGTGCGACAAGATTGCGGATCGATTTCACGGTCGAGTGTCTGTCCCTGCGCCTCCGTTGTCCGTGCAGGCGGCGCGTGGAGCAGAGGTCACACACGGGGTTTGATTCCTTACCCGTACCCGGCCGCACCAGGGTTGAAAACGGCTGGGTACGGGTAGCCGGGTATCGGGTAGGGTACGGGTATCGGGTACCCGGTTGCGACCTCTGGGATGAAGCCATGTTGCAGGCGCGGGTGGGTTGTTTCTAGAAACTTGAATTGTGAGAAGAGACAAGACGTTGGGAAATTAGTGACAAACGGTGACTCACCAGTGACTCACGTCCTTCCCGTACCCGACCGCACCAGGGTCGAAAACGGGTACCCGTACCCTACCTGATACCCGGCTACCCGTACCCGGCCGGGTATCGGATAGGGGTATCGGGTACCCGTTTGCAACCTCTGGGATGAAGCCATGTTGCGCGGGTGGGTTGATTCTAGGAACTTGAATTGGGAGAAGAGACAAGACGTTGGGAAATGAGTGACAAACGGTGACTCACCAGTGACTCACGGCCTACCCGTACCCGGCCGCACCAGGGTCGCAAATGGGTACACGTACCCAGCTGGGTACGGGTACCCGTTCCCTACCCGTACCCTACCCGAAATGAGTGACAAACGGCTACTCACCAGTGACTCACGGTTACCCGTACCCGGCCGCACCAGGGTCGTAAACGCCTACCTGTACCCGGCCGGGTACGGGTAGCCATGTATCGGGTAGGGTACGGGTATCGGGTACCCGGTTGCGACCTCTGACTTGGAGGTTTGAAGCGCCCCGTGCATGAAAACGATGGACAGTGCGGCGTCCATCACGGATGAAGGTTGTGCGCTTGTAATTCTAGTTGTGAAAGTCACGTGGGTGAAACAAATTAGAAATGAAAACAGCGAAATGAAATGACGTTTCGGGTGCAGCACAGGTGTGCTGAGCTTATAACGAATTGGCACGCTTTGTTTACGTGACAAACCTTGCTAATTGGCGGGCGGTGACGGGGTGGTTTAACGAGACATGTATATTAAAAAACACCGTCAGAAAAGATCGTGCTAACAGTTCAAAGAGAGTTGTTTTTATTGTCAAAACTTGTTTAAACAAATCAACACTGTGGCTATTCCAGGGAATTGCGCATTCGAATTGAACGTTCTCATGCGCTGTATGCACCTGGTACCAGTTTACATGAAAGGCAGTGATTGCTACAAAATATAAAGCACATTGCAAAACGTACAGGTTGGTTTTGGGCTCCGTATGCAAACTCAAACATTGGATATATTTTTTCCGAGTGGTTTATCCAGAAAAACAATTCCTGAAATTGTACTTTAAAGGTTTTTGGCTTTTAATCAAAGCTCAAGAATATCAACAGCCCTTGTTCAATCCACTCCAAGATGAAGGCAGTGACCAGACGGGTACTTCACCAGTGGTCAGCGCCCAAACAATCAGCAGATTGGATGTCACCCTCGAACTCGGGTTTCTGAATCCACAGCACAATCACGTTCCTTCACAGTGGCCAGCTAGGAACTTGGTTGGGCAGAAAGCTCGCGGTCACGTGACGCACTTCAACCAATCCGGGAGCGTGCTACACGGTGGGAGGGGCTATGCACGACAGACAAATAATCCCTGGTGGGCAGTAGGGAACTGTTGTTCCTACCTGTAACAAAAATTTAACCCGTAAAAACAAAGTTTTTCACTCTAAATCCTTTATATGCGTGGCGGCTAGAGTCCTCTCGTCCTCTGGCTTGAGATGGCTGCCACCTATGGGTCAGATGATTGCCTGCCACCATTAAGCAATTGCTAATTAAATATTTAAAAAATTCCCTAAACAGTGTCAAATTTAGGAAAAAAATTTTCACGAAAATAAATTGTCACGCACAACGAGTCTGTGTGCAAAATGTCAGCTCGATTGGATGACGGGAAGTGGGTTAAAAAATGACCGAAAGATTTGCACGGTCCTAAGCAAGCAAGCAAGTGAACTTAATATAAAGGATTTAAAAAACCCCACTGCATATATACGCTTAAGACAGTTCCATGAACACGAAGTGTAGACAGGTGTTGTTTTCTCTACATCTGCTACCAGCAGCAAAGTCTATAAAACTTTGCAGAATGGAACATGTCACAAATCAACTTTATTTAGGCATTTTTTGGGGTTTTTATCAAGTAGGTGAGAGCAGACAGGCCCCATACAACAATCTTCTGGAGTATGAGAACATCAGATTTTGCAAAAACCTTCCCACTTCGTGTTCATCCTTCCAATAGATGCAAATTTGAAACGATCTTTCAACAGTCGAGCAAATGCAACACAACAAAAAAGCACATTGCTCTGAACATGGCTATCTCCTCTGCACGGAAACAAAACGTGTTGTATATTTCAACTCCAGATGACTTAAACGGCACGTTTAATCTTTATACGTGACTTTACCGAAAAAACCAAAGAATAATTCCTGCAGTCACGAAAGCTCCAAAATTAAGAAGGAACAAAACTGACAAGTCATTCACTTCTTTCTTGGAAGAGACAAGTTCCTGCCTTGGGTAGTAAAGCCAAGATGCTGCTTTATATTTTATTGACTGCATTCTGTAAAAAAAAAAACTATGCAAGCAAGCTCAAAGGAATTTCGATTTAAAGCTTTCGTGACTGCAGGGATTCATCTTCTTGGTTATTTCGGTAAAGTCACGTAGAATGGAAATAAAATAATAATAAATAAATAAAAACAGACTGTCTTCTCGACAGACCTGTTCTTCACTTGAGGACGGCTGCTTGCGTTGTGGCCGAAACGTCGTGAGAATTATTTTATGATGTTTTATTGTTATTATTTTATTATTTTCCTTCTACGTGACTTTACCGAAAGAAATAAGAAGAAGCTCAAAGGAAGTTATCGAAACTGCGAGTGAAACGACACCAGCTTATCTTCTTGGTTCTTTCGGTAAAGTCACGTAGAAGGAAAATAATAAAATAATAAAAATAAAACATAATAAAATAATTCTCACGACGTTTCGGCCACAACGCAAGCAGCCATCCTCAGGTGGAGAACAGGTCTGTCGACCGTGACTTTACTGAATAAACCAAGAAGATGAATCCCTGCAGT